AAATTTTGACTTCTGACCTTGTGTGCTACGTTTCGCTAAGATTAGCTTTGAAGTTTAAAAGAAAAATCCGCTGTCAAGCTAGCGAAGTAAAACTACTCCTTTTTAGCATGTTACAATTAAATAGATGTCTTCAAAAAAATGAGTCAAAATACTTGCTGACACGAGGTGCTTTCCAGAAAATGTTTGATTACAATCTCTCACCATTTTCTAATGAAAAAAACCGCGATTTGCTTAAAAAATAACTCATTTATAGTTCTGACCGACCAGCGCGGTGCTGGCAGGCTTGGATGACGCCGTGGCTGCCCGCGGCCGGAGCGTGCTGCAGCCCTTGCTGGGCACCCGGGGTGCGGGGTGGGAGCGGAGGCGAAGGGTGCTGCGCCTGCTCCGGCACCTCGGAGCCGAAGCACGTTGCGGCTGGGATGGCGAGGGTGATCCTCGTGCAAAAGACCTGCTGGGTTTGTGCGTGCTCAGCGAAAGGAGAGTTTTCTGGCTAGCCTCGAGCTGCTATCGCAATCAGACACCCGTGCGTGAGCGGTGAGGTCTCCTAATTTTGCCTTGCCAACAATTAGTCTTTCTTAATAATTAATGCAACTGCGTTTTCTTTTTGCTCGTCCAATTACCTCCAGTGATTAAAGTCACTTCTTGGCTTCAAAGCGGGAGCTTCTTCCTTCCCAGTCTTTTTTATTAATAATTTCCAGCCAGGTTGGTGGGGCTGATTGGTGCCGGCAGGGCAATGCGCTGCGGGGTCGTGCGAGGCACGCGGGGACCGGAGCGGGCACCGCTCACCGGGGAGGTGGGCGCTGGAAGAGTTGCGATTTAGCAAATTCGAGAGGGAAAAAGGCCCTCCAGGCTTGCAAAACCCCGTTCTGCTGCTCCGTCCCCTCTGGAAATGCCGTCCTGGTGCTGCTGTGAACGCGCCGCTTCATTTCTGTAGCGAGGCCGTGGCTGCACAGCTCATTCCCCAACCGGCCCTCGGCAGGCGGTGCTGGGAGAGGTGACACAAAGCTGTCCTCAGAGCCATTTCGTGTCCCCGCACGGCTGCCAAGGGACGGGAGGTGACCTGGGGTGACTCGGGGTGACGCTGGGCACTGGCTGCGTTGCGCTGGGTGTGTGGGCAGCCAGCAGCTCCCTCCCTGCTGCTCTGAGCCGCGTTGAAACCCGGCTTTGGGGGCGAGACGCCGGGAGATGTTTCGCCAAACCGCAGCACGTCCCCGTGGTGTCCCGACCACCACCACCCCGCGTCCTCCCAGGGGACCTGCTGAGAGGACACCAGACCAGCTGCCCTGACGTTACATCAGTCCGCGTGGCAGAAAACGTTTACACCAGGTTAATTTTATGGCATAAGACGTTGTCAGCGGAGAATTTTGGGCTTTGAAAAGCCTCTTGAAGGTCCATGCGCTGCAGCTGATTTCAGAAACCAAATCCAGACCTGGTGAAAAAGAGGAACTGGCACGGCTTCTCTGGCATATGGATTTCTGTGGACGAGGCATGGTTTCACAGCAAAGGTGCGTGTGGCAGCCACAGCCATCTGGTGAAGACCAGGAGCTGCGGACATGGCCATGGACCCCAGCCCTTAGCTGCGGTGTTGAAGCTGGGGACCAACACTGAAGGTGTCTGCTCTGTTCCTCCAGAGCTTTGTGCAATGTTTCCTTCTTCACTTGGTTGGTGCAATCTGGGAGACGGGTTCCTGTAACGAACTCGCCTAATGGAGGAAGCGGCAGGGGGATGAGTAGCCTCTTGCAGAAATTTTTGTCTTGCCTTCTTCCTGACCATCCTTCTCCACCAGCTTTTTATGACCTTAAAGAGTAGGAGAAAAGTTTTTCAGCAAGGCAAGTGCTAATGTAGAAGGGACATGGGCTGGAGCATCTCTCCTATGAGGAAAGACTGAGGGAGCTGGGCTGGTTTAGCCTGGAGAAGAGGAGGCTGAGAGGGGACCGTAGAAATGCCTCTAAATATCTGCAGGGTGGGTGTCAGGAGGACGGGGCCAGACTCTTTCCAGTGGTGCCCAGCGACAGGACAAGGGGCAACGGGCACAAACTGAAGCAGAGGAAGCTCCAGCTGAAGATGAGGAAGAACTTCTTCCCTCTGAGGGTGATGGAGCCCTGGCCCAGGCTGCCCAGGGAGGCTGTGGAGTCTCCTTCTCTGGAGATATTCCAGACCCGCCTGGACAAGGTCCTGTGCAGCCTGCTCTGGGTGACCCTGCTTGGGCATGGGGTTGGGCTGGGTGACCCACAGAGGTCCCTGCCAACCCCGACCATTCTGTGATTCTGTGATTTGGGGAAGGCCAGCTCTTCTTACTGGTGCAACATCTTGTTTCCCATCTGAACTGGTGGAAAATCTGAGTAACTGAGCTGCAACCTGTTGTACCACCAAGTTTCCGTGCTCTGCTTTGATGGGGAAGAAGGATAGTCCATGCCTTTGCTGTAACCACACGTGCTCTGTGCTTTTCACTGTTGAGGTGTCCTGCGGATCGGCATCAGGACCGTTTGGCTGCCTTTGTAGTGGTCTGTGTCTTCTGTCGTTGCTCTGAAAGCTGTTAACAGTCGTCAGGCAGCGAGGCTGATGGGTGGATGGTGCTGTGCTTTGGATCAGGCACGGCGCGAATGGGAAGGAGAGATCTGTCCCACTTTGAACAGCAGAAGTGCTTAAGTTGAGGTTTTCAAAACAGCCCAGCATCGAGCTAGTTCTGCGCCAGTGTCGTGCTGAAATGTACACGTGGAACTGCACGTCCCTGATTTAGGCTTTCTGGCTCTTAAATAAGCTAAACCATAGCTAATTTTAGAAATATCACCGAAAAGCTGTTCTTCATCTCATTTCATGGGCAAGAATAGTAGAAGCTCAGAGCTCCAAACATGTGTTTAGCTAAGCAGGAGCCAGCCCAGCGCCGCTCTCGATGGGAAAAACCACACAGCCCGTGGCCCTGCTGTACCACACCAGTTTGTGCTGGGGAGGGGGGGTACATTCCCAGTATGCCACTGTACGCAGCAAACCTACATCTGGTAAGCATCAGGGATGAGGGTTTTCATTCATTCTTAATGCAAACCTGCCTGCCTCTTGGGTTTTATTTGCATGAGCAAACCTTTGGTGGGAAAGACAGATGCAGAGCAGCGTCACCATCAGTCTGTTTTCCTTTCCGCTTCATGGATTTCCTCCTCGGAGCAGCGATGCAAAACACAGGACTTGCCCAGGGCTCTCGAGCTGCTGCGCAGACACCTTGGAGCAGCAGGGAAAGGTCCATGGCAGGTCCTCCCGAGCCACCGGCTCCAGCTCCACCACCTCCACCAAAGCCAGCTGGCGTTTCGTGCTCGCTCTGCCTGAGCAAAATCATTACCAAAGCAAAAGGCACCCGTGAATCAAGTCCAGAGACCGCAAATGACTTGTCAAAAGTCATGCAGCAAATCATCTGTGGATGGCCTGGTGGGACACAGGAGGTCTGGCTAGCAATACCTGGCTCCTAACCCCTGGAGAGCTGTCTCACCTGGTCCATTCTCATTTTCTCCCCGTTTTGAGGTGCTCTCAGTCCTGTTTCTCTTTCTGGATTTATCTGAGACAAATCCTAACATTCCACCACCAAGGTGAAATCAGTTTGGGTTTAAAGGCAACCATGGGCGAAACCAGGCATGTAGGGAGCAGCTTGCGACGCTCGAGGCGAGGAGCCTGGCTGTAGACGGCAGCGTGTGCGTGTGTTTTCCTTACAGCTCTTTTGAACAGGTTCCCCTCTCTCTGCTCCAACACGCAGAAGTACACCCAGTTGTGTTCACAAAAAAGCGCCTTTTAGAAAGATGATGGGCTCCGATGGCCTCACCGTGCGTAACCAGGAGTAGCTACAAGAGGAGGTTGGGTTTGGTTTTTTTTTTAATTTTCCTGGGTTTGTTGCATCCCCAGCGCTGCATCAGCTCCCTCTGGTCCTTCTCGCACCTCAAGTGCTGTGTTCAGTTTTGGGCCTCTCACTACGAGAAGGACACTGAAGTGCTGGAGTGTGTCCAGAGAAGGGCGACGAGGCTGGTGAAAGGTCTGGAGAACAAGTCTGATGAGGAGCGGCTGAAAGAACTGGGATTGTTCAGTCTGGAGAAGAGGAGGCTGAGGGGAGACCTTACAATTCTCTACAACTACTTGAAAGGAGGTTGTAGTGAGGCGGGTGTTGGTCTCTTCTCTGAACCAACTAGTGATAGAACAAGAGGAAATGGCCTCAAGTTGCATCAGGGGAAGTTCAGATTGGATATTAGGAGGAATTTCTTTACTGAAAGAGTGGTCAGGCACTGGAACAGGCTGCCCAGGTACATGGTGGAGTCACCATCCCTGGAGGGGTTCAGAAACTGTGTAGATGTGGCACTTTGGGACATGGTTTAGCAGGCATGGTGGTGTTGCGTTGACAGTTAGACTTCATGATCTTAGTGGTCTTTTCCAACCTTAATGACTCTATGGTTCTGTGATTCTCCCAGTGCTGGAGCTGGGACCGAGGGGGATTTCAGCCTGAGGGCTCGCTGGTGACCACGTCACGGTTTCAAAGGCATTGCCCTCAGGATGGCTCTCCCTGCTTGAGAGCCCCGGTTAGGAAAGCCCGAGCGTGGCTTTCGGGGTGAATGCGCAGGATGTGAAAGTCCAGATTTGGACCCTGTGGTAGCACAAGGCAGAAAACCAGAGCAGTGCATTGGCTGCCATGCTTGTAGCGTTCATCCTGGAAGAAAAGATACTGGAAATGAATGAGGAGAGGTTCTTCCTGAGTTTCGAAAACTTCATCTTGATTTGGGCTTGTTTCCGCCTACCCATGCAATTGTCTTCAGCTGTTGTCACTGCTTGGTTTATGGATTTTTCTTGCAGGAGGCTGAAGTGTTTTATTTAAGCAGGCGAGGGCATTTTCTGTCTTGTGCTTGAGAGACACTGGGGACTGTTAGGAATTCTCAGCCTCACCTGCAGCGACAAGACCGCAAAGGGCACCATCCCTTGGTGCTCACGGAGCTCGACGACTTCTGAGCCCTCTCCCTCCTTGTGTCTTGCAGTCCAACAAAGTTCCCGTCGTGCAGCCGTCCCACGGAGTCCACCCGCTCACCCCGCTCATCCCGTACAGCAACGACCATTTCAGCCACGGCTCCCACTCGCCCCACTTGCCCGCCGACATCAACCAGAAACAAGGTAACGGCACCGAGGGATGGGGTCCAGCGCGGTGGGAGGGGGACGGTGCCAGAGATCGCTGAGATCAGGGCTGTCACTGTCCTGGTCCCAAATCGGTGGGAGAAGTCAAGAGCTTTGGTCAACCAGGGCATTGCTTAGCCGTAGGAGTTTATTTAGCATCTTGGCAGTGCTTCGTAATCCTGGTCAAGAGGAGTTTGGTATCGAAAGTGCCAAGCCTGCTGATCAAGTGTGCTTAATTCTTGGTGCGAGCTGTCCTGTAGCTTGCAACGAGACCAGAGCCTGCGAGATGATGCGTAAGAGTCAACCAGAAAATGGAAAGTAATCTTTCCTTTGACTCATACCCAAACTGCTGCCAGGTTGTCATTTTGAGAAAATAAATACTTGAAACAGGAAATATTTTGACTAAATAGGATCGGTGTCTGATCGCTAACTGGATTGTTAGATGCGTGTGTCCGTAGCCACACGTTGTGTGGTTGTCACACAGCTTGGCTCTTCGGGTTCCTGTGTGAGTCCAGGACACGTCAATTAGCTCGTGAGGCGACGGAGGAAAGTACAGTAGGTAGAGGTTAAACCCTGAACTGTAAAATATAGGTATGTGCACAGGAATTCACCCCAGCCCATCGTTTTTTGTGGGTTCCAGGCAAAGCTGAGTGTAAAATCAAACTTTTCTCAACCTTACGTTAGTGCAACGGAACCTTTCAGATTACCTAGGCTTTTGCACAGACCTGGCCCTGGTTTCCTGTGAAAGTGAGCAAATTGACACTTTGGTGTCAAAGCACATTCGGGAAGGGATTCGGGGTTCATCAGAGCCCAGAAATCAGCGCAAAAACAGAGGCACAAAACCAGCTGTTTGACCTGGGCAAAGCCCCCTGCCGGGAGTGGTCCAGGCTCTCCCAGAGACATCAGCTCCGCGGAGTTACCATCGCTTCTGAAAAGACGGGGTATCTAGGGTGGGGTATCGAAGGTGCTCTTGGCTGGGGGGGGTGCAGAGTCATCCCTGGTCTGAGCCCGGAGGCTGTGTTCCGGACGCACCAGGGATGCGGATGGGGAGGATTTAGGTCTGGTGTAAGAGATGTCCAGGCACATCTTGGTTTTCTCCCAGCCAGCACATTGCTTGTCAGCCACCAGAGCATAATAAACTCAGCAGAAAAATATGAAGAATTAACAAAATAAACCCATTAAGAGCTCAGTTAATGGCAGATTCCCGAACCTCGAGAGGAAGGCGACCCGACACACCTTTCACGCTGCCTTGGCAGATGCCTCGCAGAGCACAAACCCCCCTCACTGAGAGCTGCCCCCAGGGACTCACCGGTAGCCTGGAGAGCCTTAAGCAGTGCGGGACGAGCTGGTCATATCCCTCTCCGTGGAGGCTCTGATGAGCACTGGCGTAGTCCCCAAGCGTTCATCCCTGCGGTGGTCAGTAATTCTGAGAAGCTGTCCTCTGGCTGCACACCCGCCGGCACCCTCAGCGCGGGCGCTTTCCAGTCTCCCCTTTCCCATTTAGCAGCGCGGAGTCGTAAAGGAGCCCGTTAGCCTTGAGCCTGTACAGTTACGTCGGAGGCAGGGGGAGTCTGTCCATCCCAGAGACCCCCCCAGGTCCTATCTGTGGAGAGGTTCAGGCCGTCATCCTCGGCTGGACCTGCCTCCATGGTGCCGCTATGATCAGCTCCGCATGCCCCATCCCTGCGCTGCTGGGCTGAGGTTTCCTTGCCCCTTCGTTCTGGATGTGTCCCATCTCTATTTCCATCGCTGAAATATCTCCCAGTATCACCTCATGCAAGCGCTGGAGAGTCACCACCGTCGTGCTCACTCACAGCATCCCTTTAAAGTATTTCACGGTAGCCCAAGGACACACAGACAAGGAAATACAAGCAGGATCTTCTGAGTCAGTGGCTGCTGCCCCAGCCACTGAGCCAGCAAAAATAACTTGTGCTCTGGCTTACGCAACTCGGCTTGTTGGAGGTCCAAATCTCAGGAAATCCTGGCAGCTGCCTAGCACGGCTTTGTCTGCCCTTCAGGGGACTGCTGCGTCCCACTGGAGCACAGCTGTGGGTAAATCTCATGCTGAGTTATCTATTCCTTTCAGTCCAGTTATGTATTTATTTTAGCTAACTCCTAATAAGAAGCTTGGAATCTGCTGGTGTCATTCCCAATTAATAATTTATCGTTAATACACAAGGAGAATCATCCAGCCTTCTGAGTTTGCAAACTGCTTGCAGCCAGTCACCAAGTTCTTCGATGTATTTATCGCCCAGGGCAGCTGCTAGACGACCCCTGTACGCGATTTTTCATCTGAGGCTCGTTAGCAGCCGGCATTCGTGATGCTGCAGCAGAGCTCAGCCCCAGCTCCCCCCCAGTTCTCCAGTCCGGGGGTCAGCTGGAGGCTGCTTTGTGTGTTGCCGGCTGCCCCCCCGGCAGCCCCGGGCTGTTCTCAACTCCGGATAGACACGGAGGAGCGATGCTGCGGCTGTCTCCTCTGGCCATGCCGCCCGTGCCAGCGGCTTTGAAGTTCACGCAGGGATTCCCCGGGCGAAGGGTGAATTCCCAGCTGGCACCATACCCCCCTCCGCCGTTCCTTGGCACCCCCAGAGCCCACGAGGCGATTGCTTTGAACGGGGACTCGGATCGTTTACAGTCGAGATGGAAGCGATGTCTGCTGGAGCATCCCCGCTGCCCGCTCATGGGGGGGTCCAGGGATGATGGAGGGGAAGGGGGTGTAGGAGCAGCTTTGGCCATCAGCTGCACGCCTGAACAGGCTCCCTGAGCAGGGCAGAGGGGTGGCCAGAGTCTGGCACAGCCCCACCAGAGCAAGCTGCTGCTGGGCCTCAGGGTGGCACGGAGCAGGGACGATGCCCATGCAGGAGCCAGCTGCCTTCCCATCCCCTTCCACGAGTGTTTGTGATTCTGCAGCAACGTGGGCGACCCACCACATCCCCACAGAGAGACCCACAGCAAGAAAAAGGGCGATTATAATATCCTGCTGCTTGCAGACAGCTATTTCACATATTTTCCCTGCTGCCCGCAAGTGCCCATAGATGGAGCAGGTCGGGGGCAGCCGGGAGCGCGGTGCTGGCTCCTCCTCACCTCCTTCTCCCTTCTCGCAGGAGTGCACCGTCCGTCCCAGACCTCAGACATCCCCGGTTTCTACCCTCTCCCTCCCGGCGGAGTCGGACAGATCACGCCGTCGATGGGATGGTGAGTGTGGGGGGCTCGCCCGGCCGCTCCGTACAAGGGGAGGTTTACGGGACAAACCGCGTGCAGCCGTTCTCCGTCACCTCCACGGCACTTTCGCTCTGGCTTCATCCCTCCTGCGTGCCGTGGGACGGGAGGAGGGTTTGGCCCTGTTTTAGAGACGGGGGGCAGGTCCGTGGAGAGGCTGAAGGCTTTTTTTTTTTGCCCGTCCCCCCCCGCGGCTGCGGCAGCGGCTCCGAGCAGCGCTGCGGTCTCAGGCCGGCGTTGCGGCGTGAATCCCGACCCCTTTTCCCAGGGCGTTTGCAGCATCGCCCCGTGGCGCGGGAGGCGAAGCCCCGGGATTCCTCGTAGAGGTGCTGAGGGATCTCGCCGTGGGCGAGAAGTTCAGGCGTCGAGGGTGGCGCGTGGACTTGGAAGGCGCGCAGCGTCTGCCCGGGGGTTGGTTTGAGGAACCTGGTGCCGCAGTCCGCTTGCTGGGCGCGTGGGCCGAGGTGCGGACGTTGCTGTGGGTGGGGGAGGCCTCTAACTATCTGCAGGGTGGGGGTCAGGAGGATGGGGCCAGACTCTTTCCAGTGGTGCCCAGCGACAGGACAAGGGGCAACGGGCACAAACTGAAGCAGAGGAAGCTCCAGCTGAACCCGAGGAAGAACTTCTTCCCTCTGAGGGTGACGGAGCCCTGGCCCAGGCTGCCCAGGGAGGCTGTGGAGTCTCCTTCTCTGGAGATATTCCAGCCCCGCCTGGCCACGGTGCTGTGCCCCCTGCTCTGGGTGACCCTGCTTGGGCAGGGGGCTGGGCTGGGTGACCCACAGAGGTCCCTTCCAACCCCTGCCATGCTGGGATTCTGTGATTCTGTGATTTGTCCTGGCTGGGGCATCCCTGGAGTGAGATTGCAACCTGCTCTACTCAAAACTTCCTGCCTTACGTCTAGCTGCCTGTGCGGATTAGGAAACCCGGGGAGAGCTTCCTACCCACCTCTCCTAATCCCAGCAAAAGCCTCTCTTTTGGAGTAGGAGATCATTTTCTCCCTCGCTGGGGTTTTCGGCACAAACAGTGCTTTCCCTGAGCGTGCTGCCAGCGTGGAGTAATCCCTCGGGATGCTCCATCCGCGGGGCCGTGGTGCCTCTTGGGGTCTGACACGCAGGGAAAAAATACACGGTGGCAGAGACCTGTGACAGTGAGTGACCCTGGTAACCGCCGCCTGGCCCCGGGCCA